AGCCTTCATACAGGACTCGGTTATATATGGCCACTTGGACTTACTATGAATGTATGTTTAAATTTGATTTGAAAATTAAAGATTCGAGTTCTTATTTATTTAAATTAAAGGTTATGACGTCGGAGAATGACACGGAAATTATAGAGAGTCTTGAACTACTTAAAAACGTTGGTTCTCATACAGGATATCTAAGTCAAGCGTTTTGGTATAATGACACAGAAAAACAATTGGGTAGCGATTTCGGGTGAGTAAATACACACGCATAATTAAATTATAATATTCTATTAATTTGCGATATTTAGAGCTGCAAATTCTCTATTCGGCGAAGCGATTCTGAGGCTTGCTCGAGATCAACCTCACGTTTTATTTGATAGGCCGCCTCCTGATAATCATCCTTATATTGCGTTGATTATTATAGGATCAATGCTAACTTTTTTGTGGTTCAAACTTTCAAAGAGTTATTTGAAGACATGAGATACAGTAGCATTTAGAATGAAAAGTATGTTGTTTATACGTACCTATTTTTCAAATTTAGAATCAGAAATCACGTTTTTGTTATGAATTTTCTTAACGAGATTGCCTGAAGCGCGCGCTAATGACATTTGACAACCAATTTTTTGACTCTATGATATTACTTTAGTGACAAAACTCAGCTCTCGACCGCGAGCGTTTGAATATTCTCAATTATTCTAAAGCTATTTTTGCAAATTTATTTTTAAATTTATAATGAAGACATTATATTCGCCCAATAAAATATACCCTTTTACCTCTCTTTTATAAAGTATCATGACACCGGACTCAGTTTCTTTAGATGTCACATTACTGGATCAATTTCTAACGATTGCAACGTACAAGTTAACAAATATGTTTCAAATTTTAATCGCAGTTGACTAGAGTTGGAAAAGTCTCATGTTCAGAATCTAAAACTCTGGCTCAGGATCAAGCCTAAAGGTACTAGCCGTAATACTTGAGTTGCAATCATGGCGCAGTATTTTTGCTGGTAATACATGTAATTACGTTTCATAAGTTTTTAATTGCGTCATAAGTCATAAGTTGTGTGTAATGAGTTGTAAATTGTGCCACAAATTTATCTTTTAAAATATTTTGTAATTGCTTAAAAATTTTGTATAGTTCATTTTTATAATCTGCATTTACAACAAACTGAATTAAAAATATCTGTTAGAACATTAACTAAAGATAATTCTTAATTATCACTATTAAAAAGGAATTGCAACCTAGATAATAAGTAATTCTTGTAACAAGAAGTAATTAAAGTATAAACATATGCAATAAATATCATATTTATTTATTATTATTATATATATAGATATATTTTTATAATTTTACTTTAATTTTAATATATAATTATTTTATATTTTTAGGAATTTTTATTTATTATTATTAGTGATAATTATCAGATAATATTATAATTAATATAAATATTTAGAATTTATTAGAACAGATAAAATATTTTATTTTTATTATTAATATATATCAAATATAATTATTAATTATATACAAATATTAAATAGTTAATTTTTTTTCTCTATTTAATTTTTATGAAATTTAGAATATATATTTATCAAATCTAAAGTAATCTACTTGCATAATTTAAAGTTTTAATCTTGTAAATTGATAGTAATAATATTTAAATATCTTTTTTTTAAAAAAAATAATTTTATTTTAATTTTTTTTAGTAAAGTAATACTTTATTTATTAAAGTATAATAAATAATTAAATAGTATAAAAGTATAATAAATAATTAAATAGTATAAAAAGTTAATTTAGATTATTTTTTATTTAATATAAAAAA